AACTTTGGTTTTTCTTCCTAGTAAATTTTTTCACTCTAGACGTTTCAGTTTTTCAATAAATTTTGGACAATTTCAAGTTACACTTTTTGGAGGAAAATGGAAATAAATACAAACAATAATTACTACAACAATAAAAAAATTATAAACCAGTGAACGCATTTAATTTTTAAACGATTCTAATTCGGATATTTTTTGAAGAGTGGAGATTCATTCAATTTTATGGTTTTTTTTTCAAAATTTTCTAATTTCCAAAAATTCCTAGAAGAATCTAGGGAAATTAGATTGGATTCAAATGACGGATTTAATGAGAATGATTCAAAAATTGAAAACTTCCCATTACCTGCACTAATATTCCGTTTTTTTCCTGAATTTCTGAAATTCCTAAAGTTTCTCTAAAAAATCCGGAACAACTCGTTAAACAATTAAAACTCAAAAACTGAGATCGATGAAAATTAACAAAAAAAAATGTTTTGAAATTGAAAATAGGTTTGACCCAAATAATTGAATAATCCGATGTTAATTGCTTTTTTGTAATTGCTCCGGAATTATTACACTTTTTTGTAAAATCATTGCAATGCGTTTCTCCGGAACAGGTGTCAGCCCCCCAGGAAGGGGTAGATAATCCATCAGAGGAGACAACAATTATCCTGATTTGATGAATGAAATATTAAACAATGAGGGATGAGGGGGTTTCCCCTTTCTGATGGCAGCGATTCGGGCTAGCCACACGAGAGTTTGGCTTTTCGATTTAATCAACGAATTTACGCCGGCGCCAACTTGGAAAGCCGTTTCTACACCCCATAATCATTTCCGGCTGCGGTCGAGCAATAATTAGACTAATGAAGTCGACTTAACGAGCGAAGGAACCTCGGAGCTTGTGCTGATGTATTCAAACGTTTTAGCTATTCAATTAAAAGTGTGAGACAATTAATTGGGGGAAGATTTTGATCGGTCATTAATGGAGGTATTGAAGAGAATATTGAGGTAATGGACACCATTCCGTGTATTGAGAAGACTCAATTAAATTATA